TTTGTGCTGTTGAAGCTAGAGAGGTGAGAAAAGTAAGCCTGATTCCTCTTTAGGACTTCTCTGTTGGCATCTACCCCTTGACGCTCATATGACCTTATGCAGTTACGAGTTCCATAAAACCTTACTAATGGTTAACAAAAACACACTGTACTGTAGATATATATTGTGTGTGTTTATGTGTGTGTTTATGTGTGTGTGTGTACGAGTATACGTGGTGCAACACCAAACCAATCTGCCAGGATCTGGACTACAAAGATTTATCTTATCTTATCTAAAAAAATAGATGCTCAGATGCAACTGGATCGCTAACAACAACATCTAAAAAATAGATTAAACATCCCATTTATTTGATTGGCCTAAATGTGAAACAAAACAGCGCAGTGCGGACAGAAACCACTCACGTTGTTGTTGATGATGCTGGTCAGTTTGATGACAGCCATGCTTGGGAACCACCACAGACACTGAAGTATCCACGCAGACATCGCTATGGCACTTTCAAACCGTTCTCCTGGGAATAAAATAAATAACTGTGGTTTTTTCTTTTGAACAGGTGGACTAACAACAGTACAAGAGATTGTATTAGTATTTTGGTCTTTGGCAGATTTACAGAACCACAGTTTTGTATAGATAATAATAATAATAATAATAGATAGCATTTGTGTAGCGCATGTCCCCACTCAACAGCAGGCTCTATGCCCTTTACACTATGTTATTACCCCAGCAGACCATACAACACTCCGAAACATTCTCAGCTTTCCGTGAAGCATACAGTGCAAGCAGCTGATAAAGTGCTCAAACACTAACAAACTGACAAGATCTTTCGCTGTCTATAGCCAGGTACCCATTCCCACCTGGGTGAAGTGAGGAAAATTTGTGTAAAGTGCCTTTCCCAAAGACATAACGTCAGGCCCCTGACCGGATTCGAACCCACGACCTTACGGTTGCGAGTCGGAGAGCCTAACCACTAGGCCACCGACGCCATAGATTAGTTAGCCAAACCAAAGACAAGTAAGTAGTAGAGACTGGACAACAGCACAGATCTGTAAAGCTTCTACTACCCCTGGGTCTGTGAGTCTTTGAGATTCCAGTCCATGAGTTGTGACGACCAAAAAAAAAGAAAAAAAGATGTTTGCCAAGGCTTGTAAAATTGTCACTTTTGACAATCTCTTACTGGTCCTCTAGAGTAAGGACTAATACTAACAACATCACCACAAAAGTGTGAGACTTTGTGCAAACATTTCGGAATTTTTCATGACAAAAGAAATGCTGGCTCTACAAGGGAGTGGGAAGGAGGGTTGCCTGTTTCTAGACTCTACCAGGAAAAAATAGTTTGCGCACATTCCGTTTTGTCTACTAAAAACACAAAAGTGTTATTTGATAGGAATGGGCAGGAACAAAAATGCGAAACAAAACAAATCCCAGCTTAGTTCAGGTGGGTTTCTCAGAATCACAAACAGAAGAAAGCAAAAGTTCAGGGTTCGAATCCGTGTGGGGCTCTACTTTTTCTCAGCCATGAAAAAAAAAAATTGTACCTCCTAGTTCAGAGTCCTGACACAGGCTCCACCTTCGAAATGACCTAAATAGAGTTTAGTAGAGCGCATAAACACAAAAATTAAAAAAACCTATGGACAAACAGACAAGGAGAATGTACCATCATGATACTCACCACATAATGAGAGAAGATATGAGCACACGGTCTGTATGAGGAATGTTATCTGAAAACAAAAACAAAACACAAATTTTATCAGACAGGACTAAGCACAAACAAGTGGTTCACGGCATGAAAAATGAAGAAAATGTTGTATTGTTTTTTTTAAAAGGAGGAAGAGAACAAAAAAAAGAAGAGGAGGAGGAGGAGGAGGAAGAGGATGAGGAGGACAGGAGGAG